CACTCTTCTGAGTCTTCTCAGTCCTCCGCATCGTGATCGGCTCCTACGACCGCGCTATTCAAGTTGCCTGCTTCAAAGAACATCCACGCTTTGCTCCATTTGTAACCAGCCTCTATAGCTACGTCACGGTGATATTGATGCTTACATGCGATGCAGCGAGCTCGCAGGAGAATCACTCCATTGTAGAGTCGATTATCCGGAGACTCAATTTATGGCAGCCTAACTCCGCTGAGCCCAGGCTTGGAATCGAGTCTCCCGTTTCAGTGCTGGGAATTCCGCAAGGTCATGGTCAGCTGCGGTATCTTTGCATTCTCTAACGCCACAGTTGCCGGCTCGAACACAGCCAGCCCGGCTATTTCGCTGAAATTCGAAAACCCAATCGCAAATCTCAGGCTGAGTATTCCACAGAGTTCCGCATTTTACACGCACATTCTGAATGAGTCAGAATGACCCTCAACTTACGCTATACATCCAGCAACTATGGTTGAAAGTACTTGATGCCTTCAGTGCAGTATGATACATCATTGGCAAAAGTGTTTTACAAATGCGGAATATACTCGCTCCAGTTGACGTCAACAAAGGCCTGTGGGGGAAGCGAGCGCAGCGTAGACAAGGGTAAGCCAATTAAAATAACCCGAGACATGCAGTACAGCACGATGCCAAGTGGTACCATCACCTGCCGCAATGTCGTTGCGTAGCGCGCTAGCAAGCCGGGTTCCCGCTCGGAGTTATCCGCGTATTGGGACTCCGATTGGGAGCTATACCACACCGGGACTGTCCACAAGAGGCAGATCAATACAATAGGAAGGGTGGTGACGAGCACGGCAGACACTCGCCACAGCCACAGCTCGATGGTGGACGGGAAGAAGGCGGTCCAGGCGAGACAGTGCAGGCCGCCAAAGAGCGCGCCGAAGAGATATTGTGCTGATGTTGTATGTAGGAAGTCGTTTCGGAAGATGGTAGGGTTTGTGGTCTCCGTGTGTCCCCGCCAGAAGATCGGCACGTGTGTCGCATGTCTGGGCTCGAAGTCGTATAAGTTGAAGACAAGACAGCGCAGGTGCTGCGGGTACCATTGTTTGCCCTGCTGGACCGAAAGTGAAAGTCCGGGAGGGTCGGTAGTGTGTAGTCCGATCTGTAGGGGGTCGCGCACATCGAGCGGCTTTGCGAGCCAGAGCATCCAGAGGAGTGACGAGAATAGTGGGACTGGGACTCGTCAAATGGGATTCAGTCCCACTTTGATCTGCCCAGTCCCATGTTGATGGTGTGAGTCCCACTTTCATGGCGCCAAGAATGCGTAGCCGAGCGCTAAACAAACGGTTAGAATGATATATCAATCCAAAAAAAAAAAGAATTACGCTCGGCGCAGCGGGCCTCCGTGGCGAGCGGCAGCCCGCGGCAGCGTGGGGTCGGGGGCAAAGCCCAGGTCGGGGTCCGGGGTGGAAAACCCCGGCTGCCGCGGCCGGCGCCGCCACCCTATCAAACTTCAGCGGACGGAGCAAATAAACAGATAAGGCACCCCGGAAAGAACTCCCACGCTCCGCGCAGCGGGCCCCGCGGCGAGCGGACGCCCCCGGCAGGGTGGGTCCAGGGCGACGCCCTGGTCGGGGTCCGGGGTGGAAGACCCCGGCCGTCGCGGCCGGGCGCCGCAACCCAGTTGATGCGACACGCGTCGATCTATCAAAGGGGGGTGATGTGTCGTAACGAGTCCCACTCCGGGACTTCGGGAATGGGACTGGGACGGGGGAAAGTGGGACTCGAGTCCCATTGTCCCAGTCCCAGTCCCATTACTCTCGTATATACTCGAGCATCCATGTAACCGCGTTAAGAGCCGCAAAAGCAAGTGTTGCAACTTCAAGCTCCGTGAGCGGGAGATTTTGCGCGGCGGCGAGCGATGGACTGCAGAATAAACCAGAGCCCTTGGCAAAGCGCAATACCCTTCGAGAAGATGTCTCCCTTGCTCTTATCCTCAAGGGCCGATTCAGGAATAGCTCGTATGGCGTGGATAACCCCAGGTTTGGACAGTTGCTTGTCGGTGGTAATTGGATGGCCAGCAACGTCGATAAAGCCACCCATGACGATAAAGAATCCATGCGTCAAGGAGATGTCATACTCTGAATTGTCAGATGCTTCCACGCCAACGACGACAAATCTATTTACTTGAGAGGATAACCAACGAATACGACCGACAGTCGTTGCGTATCTCACTCTCGCGCCTCCCGTGGCCTTTCGACCCCAAACCCTTGCCATTCGTTAGACAGCACCCCTCTACCATCCATCAACCGCATTGCTATCCATCCCAGCTCTTTATTCTCCCATCTCGCGGGCGTCACGGCTGCGTGTTGGGAAGGAGACGCGGCACGTTGTTCGTGACTCGACCGAGAGGCTTCATCTTCTTGTGCACGTTCTCGCGCGGTCCAGCCAGGTGTGTTAGCGGAAAAGGAATTGCAACATTTTGGGGCTCGGGAGCCAAAGCCGGGTGGCGGAGCTGGTTTGCAGGTTGCGGACAGAGAGGAGGAGAGTCATGATGTGGTTTCCAGCTCTGCAGCGTGGTGGATCGTTTGCGGCACTTGGTCGTGGCCAGCGCGAGTGGTGGCAACGTGACTTGTGCGTGGTCTCTCTCTCCTTGTACTTTTCGCCTTTTGCTGACTTTGAGTCTTTTCTCCTCTTCCACTTCATATTACACTTTACTCTCGACATTCGACTTACTCCGCGACATTTTTACCTTCTCTCCCCTACTCTATATCACATTTTGACTTCGGCATTACATACCTCCGCATATCCGACCCGCGTTTCGATATTTCGTCCCATTTTCCCCCACCTACTCTATTACCCCTTCGCCTTTAACTCGATTTTCGACTTTCCATCCCCTTCTCTTTCCTTGCGGTCTCCTTTCTCTGTTTCTTGACTCCACCTCTCTCATAGAACTTTATTGTGCGTCCCACTGGTTCTTCCTTCTGCCCGATACATATCAATGCCCTTTCGCCTCTTCTTGCCCGCTACATTTACGACCACATTCATATCTACCGCATACTCTCTCCTCTAATATTGCTATTCGATCGTCTCCACAGTTTCCAATGACAATTCCCTGCTCTACTCCGTCTTTGGACATCCACAACCAATGCTTTTGAAGACCATGTCTCAACTGAATGAGGCACGATGCAGATTCAATTGCCCGCTGCAAGCAAATGTTCGGAGCCTCATATCGATAACGCTAGAAGCCGGAAATGAGCGGATGCTACTAGTAGAGATGGCAGGGAGAAGCGCACAAGATGTAGCCATTTCTTACGGGTTGCTCCCCTGTCGGCCTCAGCGTTCGCAATACCCCTGTCGAAGATGCTTTGTCCGAGTTGGAGGACATGTGTAATCTTGACTTCCAACGGCCAGAGGAACAGACGACATCTCTTCTGCAAGCGGACAAGCTAGCCATCGAGCTGTCGTTGTGATCGGGAAGCATTTTTGGTATGTGAGTCTCGTGTGACTCCTCTGCCTTCTACCATGACACATCTCCCAACAGAGCTCCTGGAGCACATCGTCGATGCCATCCCCGAAGACAATCTTGCGACGATTCGCTCGTGCTACCTTGCTTCCTCCGTCCTCCGCCCCGTCTGCCAAAAGCGCCTGTTCCGCCGCCTCCTGTTTGTCTCGCATCCACTGAGAGACTCGGACTCGGACCCAGCACCTAGAGAAGAACAAGCACGGCCGGCGGAAAGCAATTTTCTTCGCTGGCACACATACTCCTCTGTCCTTGCGTTCTGGAGAAATGCACCTCATCTTGCCGCGTATACCAAGTCCATTGTTCTTCTGGTGGATTGATTAGGCAGCCAGGCTGAGGTTGCGGCCGCGGCCGCGGTATTCGCTTCGACTGACGAATCTACAAGAAGTCAAGATCTTTGACTTCGGGAACCATACGTGGAGGCCCTGCGTGTCTAAGGAGATTGTCGAGACGCTGCTTGACAGATATTGCCACCCCCAGCGCAAATTGAAGCGTTTCGCTCTCGTGAATGCTAAAGGAATCCCAGAGGGCATGTTCCGCAAATCATTGTGTGTTGCTGATTCGGTCCGCTACGTTGGGGTCCGAATCGAGTCGTTGCCCAACGCAGGCAGAAACCTCGAACGAGACAACGATGAGCGCTTGGAGCCACCGCTTGCAACAACAACACCAATTGTAGCGCTGAATTTGGTATCGGCGGGCCTGTCCAACTCAATGCTGAGCTTCCTTCATCGCACCCGGGCCGAACTCCGTCCACATTTCAGGGCCCTCTCACAACTTGCACTTGACTCGGTGATGACACAAGAAGACCTGACATTATGTTTCTGTACTGCACAGACGTTGGAAACCCTCGAGCTACGGTTCCATGGTATGTGTGTTTTGCATATCCCGCCAGTGTCCTCCTACTCACCTATCAACTCGAATAGATCTGTTTGTGCTTGATGGAACACCGACCCGGCTCCCTGCCCACCTTCCGCGACTCCGGAAACTTCGATTTTCATCTGGGGTCGCTGGCAGTGCTGTGTGGTATGGTGCCCATTCCGCCGTCACTGATTGATGTGCTCGAACCCTTTGTTGCACCTGTGCTGACTGATGCCATGTTCCGTTTCTCGTTGACCGCCAACCCAACACCGGCCACGTTGGTCGGGCTATGTTCCCCGGACCCTGTCTCTTTCGCGAGGCTTGACGACACGCTCGTTGCACATCCGTCGATAAGTAATTTCGAGTGCTTCATCGGCTGGTCTTATCACATCTCTCTTCAACGCCCACAGAGCCATATCAAAGCACTGGCAGAGAAGCTCGCAGAAGCGCTGCCGCAGGCGTCAGGGGCAGGTACTCTAAGCGTCGCGGGAGGACAAGAGAAGAGGAACCTTGAGGACGAGTTCCCATACTAGTAGTAGTAGGGATCAATGCATACTTATGTATCCGGGTCCAAACTGAAGCTCACCAACACTGCAAGCTCTAGTCCAACTCTTCAAAGGCTGAGTTTCATTTATGGATTAATGGCAAGCTAAACATGTGGCAAATACCTATTCCAATTTACCTCCAGATACGCTGTTCCGGGGACGTCCCGCAAGGCCATTAATGGTAGGATAACCAGGATAATACGCGCCGGGACATAAAGCAGTGCGCCGATGATGTATAGCCGGATGACTAGAAGAACTCCTAGCCGATCTGAGTCGGGGTTAACCGTTGCACACTGGTGCACCGACAATGCCACAGCTGGAGCGATGCCCAGGACGAGCGATGCCGCTCGCCACAGCCACATCTCCGCGGCGGATAGGAAATGCGTGCGCCAGGCTGCACAGTGGACAGCGCTGAATATCAGGGCGACCAGCAGCGAGATGCTGGGGGTGTACCGCTCGTGGTCGTCCGAGCCCGTTGCGAAATGGAAGGTGGGCACTGCCTCGGCATGGTGGTAGTCCCTGCGCACGTCTGAGACCCCGAACAGCGCCGAGAAGCGCTCGCGGAGGGGACGTTTCTCGCCCGTGTCGGACCGCTCCGGTTCCCGGCCCCGGCCCGGGTCACCGGCGTAGATTCCGACGTCCTCTTCAAGCGGTGGCAGGACGATTGGCGCCCGGACATCCAGCGGTTTTTTCCACCAGAGAAGCCAGCCAAACGCGTTCACGGCTGCGAAGCCCAGGGTGGCCACCTCGAGCTCGGTCAGTGTGAGATGTTGCTGGAGGCGGGCGAGACCTTGCAGGACGAACCAGAGGGCTTGCAGCAGTGCTATGCCTTTTGAGAAGGCATCGCCCTGGCTGCGATTGAAGATGTCTTGCTCGGACACTTGACGAATGTGGTACAGATGCCGCATTACTTGTATGGTGTCGACGATGGGGTGTTTTTCAGAGTCGACAAAGCCGCCCATGGAAATGAAGAAGCCGTGGGTCAAGGAAAGGTTGAACTCTGGGAGCAAGAGGTCAAGAATTCATTATTCCCCCAGTCTTATGACACACCTCGCGAGAAATACCACGCCGTCTCAAGCTGCCTCCCCGCAAATCCGACAATCAGCTCAGGCGCGATGAAGGCGACCAGCACGAGTTTGAGACGGCGCCGGACTCCGATTGTGCTGTCGATTAAATACCATTTTAGGTGCGCAATAACTGTTGCGTCTTTTTTGGGCGGTCGCGGGACGGGGGGCGGGACATTGGGATGCGCGGAAACCCAGATGCAGGCGAAAATTGTTGTGAAGCAGCCCCATACGATGGAGAACAGACTGCGCTGGTTGTTGCACGCATTCATATCTCCCCCAGTTGCGCGTACATCGCTGGAAGACGCGGTCGGGAGCGCGAAATGGGGGAATAAGGCGAGGACGAGAAAACGGAGCATGGGATGGTGCCTGAGGGAATGCTGGTCCAATTCATGAGTATATCGTTGGAGTGAGACCGTGACAGCTGGATTGGTGCCCAGTACTGCAGTCCGAAGTACTCGCGTGAACAGATTTGAAGTGCTTGGAGCATGGAAGTATTCGATATGTCAATCCGCCACGGCAAACTTGGAGAAAGGTGTCTGTTGTTGTTTGTCTTCTTCCCTGGAGCACTTCCCAGCGCATCGATGCAGCATTGAACAAATGCCGTGGGGCCCCCCAGTGAATAGTGTCATAGTAGACGAAAAGTGTCGAAGTGGATGTTGTGAGAGTGGCAGTCCGCGGTGACACATCCTTTCCTCTTCTTCCTTCGACGGCCACCATCCAACCATCTTGCCTCGCTCCAGCGCTTGAATGCACGAAGGCCTCGACGCGCCGCCAGCCAAGCCAAACGCCATAGCTGGCTCCGCAGTCGCTTTCGATAGACGACCTCGCGAAGATGGCGAGAGGGACTCGAGCTAGACGGGATTCGCTAACTTGACGGAGAGAGGCGGTAGTGGCGAGGCTCGAGTGCGGGTCGAACGATGCGGGTCGTTGCTGCTGTTGTGTGTTGTCTCTGGGTATGTGCCGTCCCCGCTCCCTGTTGCCTACTCATCCAGTCATTGTCAGCGTCGAAGAAAGACCCAAAATCTACAGCGCGGTCTCAATTCATGGCCTTGTCTCCTTCTTCTGCCGCCTTTCCTTGGCTTTTAAGGCTTGACGATAGACCCGGGTGTTGCGGAGCTCGCAGGACTCTCGAGTAAGTCAATGTCATTCCCAAGACCTTGACGAAGGTGTCTGAGGTGCCATTGTAGGACTCGATATGGTCTGCGAATTTCATTTCTGGATGCTGTACCTCCTTCATTGCTCGCGATACGGGTATGGCTCACAGACTATTCGACAAGGACCCGAAGGCGTAAATCAGGGAGAAAGAGTGGCGAGGAGGGAGACGGTAGTGAGTTGCTCGCTGGCGTTATCATTCCTGCTCAACTCTTTATAGCATGATATCTTGTACTTCCATTTGAAGATTCCGCAAATGGCTGCAAGCGCTGGTCCCAAGATGGTTGCGGCTTTCGACATGGTGTCCCTCTTCAATGGGCCAAAATCCCATCCCAATGCTTCCCTTTCATGCTCCACGACTTTTTCCTCCTCCCATTTCCCCACACCCACCGAAGCCCATGTCGCCATGACTTCGGCTCCATCTATACACAACCTTGCGCTCCATGGGGTGTACTCAGAGTCGCGGCTAATTTTCGGGGAGGCGTTGAGTGGGGGAGAGAATTATGCCGGCGGGGAGATATGAGCTGACCTCGGAAGTGGCGTCCTTACGAGTGTAGCTCTGCATCATCCTCAATGGCTCAAGTATTTCTTGGCGACCACACTTTTTACTGCCAGTTACCTTTTCCATCGTTATTGTACTACGTTTACATCTATACATGAGTGACTTAAATCAGAAGGAAGGAATGTACCGTGTCCACGACTATCGGGACAACGAGGGAGCACAATCAAAGTGCTGTTGCATCTTGCAGTGCACATACCAGCGGAGGACAAGAACTGTCTCCCGGTCGTAAGTGAGCGCCGTGGTATTTTGCGAGCGCAGCTTGCAATTCGGCTTCAGAGTTGTAATAGACAAGTGCAGAATATGTCGCAGCGTGCCGGGGGAGGATAGTTATGGAGACTGTCCTCGGTTCTTGGAGAGTGGAATCTGGCATGAAAAATGTGTGCAGCTCGTCAAGGGTCGCGTCTCCGGGAAGGCCCGCCACCCGCATTACATAGGTATCGGCCTCGTTCGAGGGGGATGCGGGGTCATAAAGTGCTTCAAGTTGTGCGGTGACGGTGTTATCTGGTGAGTCTGAATATTGACTCCAAATGGCGAGCAACGCTGAGCCGGTAGATGGTGCAAGTTCCAGGCCCTGACGCAGGTCTCCCCTGCGCAGCCACGATAGCTTGCGATTCTGGGGGTTGCGCAGGTGGCTGGTGTCGCGCCAAGGAAGCCGATGTGTGCTCATCCATTGAAGTCGAATGCTTGCCACATTCCCGATCGACCAAGATGGCTCTTCGACGCGGTCGGTTGGACTATCGGACCGCTGACCCCGGCTCGGGATGGGACGACTTGAACCGATGACATGGTCTGGATATGCGCCGCTGGGAATCTGGAGCTCCAGCGCATAGGAGAAAAGCGGGGTGTTTGCTGGCTGTACGGCGTTGGCTGCAGTTAAATGTCGGGCACTAGTAGATTGTCGCGACAATTTGAATGGATCCGATTGACGACTGTGCAGGCTACTGCGCTTGGCAGCGTTCGGCTGGCGCGCAATTGACTGAGGCGCTGGAAGACTAGCACTTGTAGTACCACGCTGATCGAAACCCGTCATCCTGGAGAACCATTGTCTTTGTAAGGTCTCCGACCTGTTAGTTGGTCATAATGGACCACATACCGGGCATAACCATAGAGCGCTCTCGAATGGTGCTGGCAGAATACGATGAAAACATCATGGGCAGTAAGCAGCTTCCCATCCGACAGCTCGTTGAGGAGGGCGTTATTGGGTGGCAAGGGCCAGTTGCCCGTTTCCTGGCTCAAGTCGAGGCTTTCCTGCCATAATATTATCAGTTACAAACATCGACGATTCGTATAATGACTCACGGTACTCCCCACCCCGAAAAGAAAGAATCTCGTAGGCTTGCGGCGACGGGCATCAAAGTTGGATGTGGTTCCTGCCTCCGCTGGGTTGCCTGGGCCGCCCGTCATAGCTGTTGGCTCAGAGTTCTGCGGGGTTCTCCACAAAGCTTTGCGCGGCCACGCGGGCATTGACGGACATTGGAGGCGAAGCAGAGTTCTGAGGAAGCGCAGAGTTGTGCTTGAGAGTGGGCAGATGGGCAGATATACCCCCAGCGCTGCACAGCTTCAAGTCCGTCAACAGTCACTGCCAGAGAAGAAAGATGGGCCACAAATAGAACCGGACCGTGTCGGAGTTGGGGATGAATCATGGTCAAAGTCAAGATTCGAGAATGAGTGACATCACTGCAGATCACTCTTGCTCTTGACCCTCATCCACTAGATGCGTTGCACTAGCGGAATATCTGGACAACTTGAAGAAAGCCTCTCGAGGTGCTGCTTCCAGCCTCGCGGCTCCTTAGAAAGCGCCGGAAAACGACAGTGAGCAAATACCGCGCGAGCTTGAGCGAAGAGGTGCGGATCTGGCGACTGGGAGTCGGCTGAATGACTGTCAAAAAGTGTGTTTAGTTGTCGCCGTGGAGGCGACGTGTGTGCTGCTAGGGTGGCCACGACCGAAGTGAGCGCTTGGGAAGGTGCGTCATCCAGTTTGCTTTCGTGTTTTGCGCCGACCCGACATTGGAGCGCTTCCCGCCCGACAACCTTCACCCCTTTCTCGGCGCCCTTCTCACCTACACATGCAAGATGCGGGCCCACCCTTTTCGACACGCATACGAATCGAATGATGGTCGCTCAGTTTACGCGCCCGACAGCAGGTGGAGAGCAAGGCGGAGTGGAGGGGAAGGAGGAAAAACGGGCAGACCTAGGGGAAAACGCGAGCTTTCGGTGGATGTGGTGCGTATTCTGGCACTTTCTCTACTGAATCGCACTACTTACTCCCTCTTCCTGCTCATGTTATCTCAGCCTATCCGACTCCGTCGAGCCCAGTGATGATGACAAGAGTACCTTTGCCAGAGGAGGAGCTTGAGTTGGGAGCGGCCAGTTGTCACAGCTTCCGAGGACCTGGCTGCGTCTCAAACAACCCACCAGCAGCCAATAACCTGGCAAGACGTTGCTCGTTCTTCCCCAAACGCCAATCTAGTAGCCTATTCGCTCCCGAGCCCTCGATATCAACCCACCACAATTTCTCCCCTCTACTCGCAACATTCCTCCCCATCCACACTCACCAGATTGCCTCGTCCAAAAATCGAAGTCACGTGCGCGACATCCACAGACGTCGAAGTTTTCGTGGCGTACGCGCGACCTAGCACTATATCGACCGTATCTCCATCTCCATCACACCCTCCTAATGCTACCCAATTCTTTTGGCCTCACTATTCGACGCGCTAGGGCTTCGTTCGACGAGTTTATGGCGGTGTCTATCTAGAGGGCATCGGCAACATTCATGGGGAGATTAAAAGATTTGCGGAAACGGAGGTGTATACCCCGACCCTGCAGATGAAGAAGGGAATGTTAGGCATGACTCGGCGAGCTGCTTCTGCGCCAATCTATACCAAGGCCGACCACATTTCCATCGGCACTGCTCGTGACGCAAGTCGACTGACAGTACTCATTGGGATGCCGCCTTATCCTCTGCCCTCGTTGCTTCCGAACAGGAGACAGTGCTAACAACATTGTCATTGACGTTGATTGACGACGTCAGGCGTTGCTGGGATGGGACTGCGGGTATATTTTGCGGATGCAGGTAACTTTGCGGCCAAATCTCCAACGCCCTGCTAACATGGAGTAGGTTTACGGACTTGTGGTCGTTAGAGACGTTTTGGTGTGTAGTACGGGTGCAAATATCTACAGGGCCACAACACGGTATGTGCATCTCCATGCCTTGCAATTGCGTCAAGACGATTCAGATTAATTGAAGAAAGGTGTTGTTTACCTTGGTATCTTGCAAACCATGCCGAATGGTTCGGCCCAGTTTGGGTGACGATAGTGTTGTATTTCATCAATTAACGCATGCGTGCCAGTGTAGTGGAAGATACAAGTCCGCGTTGGGGAGGCTGTAACGGAAGGCTGACAAATCGTTATTTGTCTCCTCTTATCGTCCATCTCCGAACAATCCGATGCCTAGAATAACCCGGCTGCTCCTCAGCACTATCCATGACGTTGACGTTGCTGCCCCTCCCAGCTTCAAATGCAGCAGACGCTTCGTTGCGGGACTTTGGCCGGGAGGTTGTGGGCGTTGAGCCTGGCTCGCTGACGGCGGCGCAATTCGAGGAAGTCAGAGAGGCACTTTACAAGGTGCGTGGCTGGCCAACCACCCGTTTTGCCCGGCTGACCTGTCACTTAGTATGACGCGCTTCTCTTCCGCAACGCCTCGCTCAGCCCAGAGCAGCAATACGCGCTGACCAAGGTGTGTTATGGGCTGCGTCTATGCAGACAGAAGCTTACTTCGACAGGCATTCGACCCTGCCTCAGAGAGTTATGGGCACGGGAACAACAAGACGCAGGCTACCACCAAATCGGTGCTCCACCCGGACCTCAAAACGATCCCGCGCGTGCCGCAGGTCCAGCTTATTGGCAACGGCACAGTGTTTGACCACGAAGGGCTGGTGGAGGCAAAGCTCAAGCATCCCCACCACAAGACGTTCCACAAGACTGCTGTCAGCGAGGAGGATGAACTGCGCGGCATGACACGATTCTACCGTTGGCATATCGATGCGGCGTTGTACGAGCTTTCTCCGCCGCGAGTGACTACACTCTATGCATTGCGCGTGCCGAAAGGCGAGCCACAAGTGTGTCGCTACGACGATGGGACGGGTGATGAGCTGGAAGTGCCGTTGGGCACGACCGCATTTGTCTCGGGGAGGACAATGTTTGCGCGGTTGTCTACCGAGCTCAAAAGTCTGGCGGTTAGGGCACGGGTCAAGTATGCTCCCCACCCGTACGTGTGGATGGCGCCAGCGCGGGCGAAGTCGACTGGCTTGGGTATCGAGTCGGAGGGGCTGGAGCTAGGGTTGGATAAATTGCCGCCTTGGGAAGAGGAGAAGGTGCAGATTCTGCCCATGGTGTGTCTGCTATCGTTTCTCTCTCGAGTTCAATACTAATTATGATTGCGCAGCTCTGGAAAAACCCACTCACGGGCGAACTCTCATTCCAGGTCCATCCATGTGCTGTCCTCGAACTTATCATCGACCCGCTCCCGCCACAAGTCTCTCGCGACACCGCTCTCTACCCCAACGGCGCCAATATAACCGACCTCAAGCAAGTCCGCGAGCTGCTGTACCAGATGCAGCGGCCCGCAATCGCCCCTTCGGTATGCGACTATCTGTAATTCCCATCGTCTCCAAGTTGCGCTAACGCGCTGCAAAGCTTCGTATATGCCCACGACTGGAGCGAAAAAGACCTCGTCCTTTTCCACAACCGTGTCGTGCTGCATACCGTTGTTGGTGCATTTGCGGAGGACCAGGTCCGCGCTTTCCACCAGTGCAATCTTGCCGCGTCAGATGATCCTATCGGGCCCAGCAAAGAGGATGTATTACAATGGGTGTAGTTTAGTCTAATCATAAAGGCTCGGATAGAAACAAAATGTCCCAAAATGTAGATTTAAATCCAAAATAAAGCCTTCCATTGAGTACTCGAAGTCTAGTTACAAATGAGGGATGTAGACACTCCAATCCACGTCGCCAAATGCGGCGGGCGGGAGGGATCGCAGGGTCACGAATGGTATGACAAGGAGGATGCCTCGCGCAATTGAATACACACAGACGAAGCCCAAGACTTGACCGGCAACATCGACTCGGAATGCGCTCAGCAGGAAAGTGGCCCCAAGGAAAAGCGGGGGAAGCACGGTAAGCACGAGCGCCGCGCCGCGCCATAGCCACATTTCGGCGGGGGAGGGGAACGTAGCGCGCCACGCGATGCAGTGGATGGCGCCAAATAAGCCGCCACACAAGAACTGGCTCGAGTCTGCGAGTGTCCACGACAGCCAGTCTGCCCGGCTGGAAGATCGGACGATGTTGTAGTAGTCAAACGTGGTGCACCAGAATGTCGGCACGGAGGTGTTGGACCACGGGTCGTACTCGTCGTTGCTGTAGGAGTTGATGAAGAGGCTGAGGAAGCGGTCGAGCCAGTAGGTGCTGGCGGGATATGGCAGCAGTGGGGTATGGTCTGGAGGAGCGGTTTGGACCGACAACTTGATGGGATTGCGCACATCGAGAGGCTTGCCCAGCCAGAGCAGCCAGGTTAACGCGTTTAGCGCTGCGAATGCCAATGTGGCGACCTCGAGTTCGGTCAGAGGAAGATGCTGTAGTCTTCGTGCTATGCACTGCGCGATAAACCAGAGCCCTTGACAAAGGGCGATGCCCTTCGAAAAGACGTCGCCTTTGCTCTTGTCCTCGATGTCGGATTCGTCGATTGCGCGAATCAGTTGGATCGCGTTTGGAGTCGACAATTGCTCTTTCGTGACAATGGGATGGCCGTCATCGTCGACAAAGCCGCCCATACCAATGAAGAAGCCGTGGGTCAGGGATACCCCGTAGTCTAAGTTATCGGTGAGAAACTTGTCGCATGATAGTACGGGGTACCAGACCTCGCGAGAAAGACCGCGCCATCAAGAATTGCCGTGCCGGCGAAGCCAAGGATGAGCTCAGGCGCAATGAGAGCACAACGGACATGAGCTTGAGTCGATGCAGCAGTGGTCCGTTCTTGCTGACAACGTGCCATTTCAGCCCGGCTTCGGAGTGACCCAGCCGCTTTCCCTGGTCGCTCGGGACGAGGAGGCGGGGACGTTTGGGTGAACGGAGACCCAAATGCAGAGAAAGATCGTCACCAGACAGCCCCAGATGATGTCGAAAAGCCGCCTGCCAGTCGTTGATGTTGGTGCAGTCGTTCGGGGCGGCGCGGGAGTGAATCGAGGAGAGGGAGAGCAGAAGAAACAGCATGTATTGACAGCATTCATGTCCGGGAGGCTATACCGGATTGAGCAGGAGATGCTGTGACATGCTCTCTTCAGTACCACCACGGCCAGGATATGCATCAGCATCCTCAGACGACTGCAAAGCCTACATGACGGTTGTAAGCCTGGAGCCATAGTCGGGAAATCATTGTGCGTGTCCGCTTCTGCGGATCTCAAATCACACCAACGAACCCACTTTCAGCTCCTTCCATGGCCAGGCGGCCGCGGGCCAGGCTGTTCAGCACGCATTAAAGGAGACGCTCAAGACCCAGAAGGAAACGAAAGTGCGTTGCTGTGCCTCTTGCATTCGCAGCCGGTGTTGACCTCAGACTAGGCAAAGCTCTTGGACCGTTCCTCGATCTTCACACCGCTTGTTCTCGACCCGCAAGCTCGACGCGAAGCGACACGGCTGTGCGGTAGTCAGCAAGTACCGCCTGGAAGGACACGTGGAAACTTGGGGGGGCTTTTCAAAGTCGTTGACCGTTTTTGGCTGAGGAGGCAAAATGGGACGGGACAGTTGTGTATATGTCCTGCCCACGCCCTTCTCCGTTTTTCTGACGTGGCATCCAGAAAACGATTGCATGCGCCGCTGGGAGTTCAGTAGACGAGAGGCCGGACGGGCTCTCAATTGGCAATGGGGCAATGTGCGTTTTCGCTCGCCTTCGTTGGTATCAGTGACTAACTCCGAGGATAGCGAGAAGTACCCGGAGCTTTACGCTCGGGCGGCCTTGCGACAATGCCTTCTGGGTACGACAACAACGAGCTACCAGCAAATGGGGACACGATGTCGGTCTGCAGTAACGGTGTAGCGGGAGTTTGGGGTGGTTCTTGAGTGTGCAGCGGGAGACAGACGGATGTGGATACAGGTGCGCGAAAAGTCACTCTCCTTACCCAACGCTGTTGCTGACATTCTCCCCCGCAGACTCTTTGTCGACTCGAGTTCCGGTCGCAATACCATGACATTCTAATTCTCCAGCACCACTTTCTGCCAGGCAGTCTCGGGACCCGTCATTCTTCCCTTTTCGTTGAAGACTACCATCCATATTGCTTGTTGTCGAGTGCGTATTTGACCACCACCCCTTCTTCCATCCATTGACCGAACGCTCAAGAGGGCCCTGCCTTAGTGGCGTATGCACCCAGGATCTTTGTTTTATCTCCGCAACGGCAAGAAGAAGATGCGTTGGTGGTTGTGAAGTAGCCCGACGGCCTTCGACAGCAAGATTCTGCAGCTTCGAGGTCTGAAGCCGTTTAGCCACATGAACAACAACATCCCCTCTCAAGCACCATATCCTCACCTCCCTGTTTCGCTCTCAGCTCATCCGCTTCCGCGTCAACGTCGCCACCATCCACCAAAGCCCATCGAAATTATGTCCACATATAGAAAGTCACGTGCACACCCGCGCTCGCCGAAAGACGTCCACACATCTTACCCAACGCGTAGGCTAGCGCTACATCGAGTGTATCTCGCTCTACACCATACCTGGCACCTTCTATTCAATTAATATTTCCCTGCCATTCATGGAGACGGCCGCCATTGAACGCGTTTTCTCCGACACGGAATATGGGAAGCATGGTCGACCTTTCTTCGTTGAAGGGCTACATACGCGTCGGTGGAGGTGATTTGGGGCGGTATTTGAGGGATGGGGGAACTTTAGAGTGAGTTTCCAGCCGGCGTTGTGAAGGATTTGGAGAAGGACAGCCGAGGCTTATGCGGACTTCCGAGTTGCTCGTGCGAGCTCGCGAGCAAGACGAGGATATCTCTCGATACAAGTGGGTTCTCTAATTCAAACAATTATGAGCATTGAAACGTCAACGCGGAGAAAGCGGAAGCGCAAACTTTGTGAGAGCGACCACGCCATCGGCGGCCCAGGCTGCCCAGCGCAGAAGTCAAGGCAGATGCTGGGAAGATGATTCGCGTTACGAATGGAGACAGCGCAGCATGTGAAACTTAAGCACGTCGTCAAGCTATAAGGTGAGCTCCTTCCGGCGCGTTTTGGTGCCCACAGGATTCAGAGTGGGTGAGTCAAGCAGGGTACTAGTGACGCGCGGCGTTGATGTATAGCCGGAGTAGCCAACAGCCACAGTATTAGTCCATCGTAGGCCCGCTTCAGTAAGACTGGCCAGCGAAAGGCGGGAGAAGAAAGAGTAGCAGCCGTCGTTGCGGAAGAAAGCGATCGGCCCGAGCGAGCATGTGATCTCTTCTTCTTCTTCTCCGCTTCCACCACGACAGCTATGGCCGACTCTATCGCCTGCGACGACTGTAGCCGCGCCTGGGGGTCTGCCCGCGACAGGCGGCGCCAAACGTAGTGCGTTGTTGGAGGAGGCGGGCGGATGGGAGGTGGGAGGTGGGGAGCGGTGGTGGGAGTAGGAGGTGCGTGTGCTGTCTTCAGTTCTTCGCTGGCGGGTTCTTTGTGCTCACAAACATGCCCAGTAGCTGGCCACCAGCCCCCCAGAAACACATTTGCTCGCGCCTGGCTGCCCGCGTTCCCATTTCGCGTCAGCGCCATAATCGATGTCGGCGTCGCAAGCCCCACATATCGGTGTGGAGACGATGGCGCGGCGAGCCCGCTGCTGCCAGAGCGGAGAGTTTTGGACGATTCACGTTTGTGTGCTCAGGAACTCATGTGCGTGTCTCTCTATCTTCTTGTCGATAACGTGGTCTTTACCTGCTTCACAGTCCCCCTGCCCATTTGCTTGCTCCTTCGTCATCTCCGGCACCACCAAGCTTCTCGCGTACTCCAAACTCGCCAAAACCCTCCCATTCTGGCTAGCGCCGCGACTCCGCAAAGAGGCACGACCTGACAAACACTACAGCGACTTTCGGCGTTCGCGCTGTCCTGTCTGCAGGCAGCACAACCTCCCCGATACAGGCCCGATACGCAAGTAATACTCGCCGTTAAGGCTGGCAACCCTCTCAACGCCTCTGCTTGACCAGCCCGCCGTCGGATTCCGTGCTTTCCTTCAGCTTGTGGCGGCGCGACGCGGCGTCACCCTTCGAAAACCACCTATATCGCCCAACGCAGCCGCTACCGCTCCGGCGAGCCTATCTAGTTGCGTTGTACACCTCCACGCTCCTACACCATCTTTTCCTTCTGTCAAATCGAGGAGGAAGGCCGCCGCTACACCAGCTTTCCTGCGCGGAAAGCGTGGGGAGCAAATAGCATATACGGCTGCCCAAATCCTCATCTATTGCTGCAATATCATCCCCGCATCGGCGTACAAACGACTACGCTTGTGCTTATAGGCTGAATTTCCGAGCTTGTCTCTTGACCGACCTCGACAGAGAACAGCACTGGGTCAAGCTTGTGGACCATCGCAGTTTCCTCAACTGCGCCTACACACATTGACTATAACTCTCTGCTTCCCCCTTATCCTTCCCCCCGCCCTCGCCTGCACCCTCCCCATGCAATCGGCGTCGACTTCCTAAAATGGCAGTCACGTGCTGACCCGCCCGACCGAAAGGCGGCCACATATCTCGCACAACGCGGCAGCTGGCGCTCTATCGAGTGTATCTCGTTGTGCCCCATGCCTGTCCCCTCCTACTCATTTCTTTTCTACGTCGCCATTCGAGGGGGAAGGCCGTTGTCGAGCGGCTTTTGTCTTGCGGTTATATGAGCCGTATGGGCGACGTTTCTTTGCGACGGGCGACATACGGCGTTGGCGGAGGTAATTTGGGCCAACGGAAAAGTGGTGGGGGGAGTTTGGGAGAAAGCTTTGAGTGGATTGTGGGGAGGAAGGCTTGTGCGGACCGTGGAGTTGCCCGTCGGACGAGCGCTTTGTGGACGTCTCTCAAGCAGAGCGACGCACGGAGGCTGGGATTATTCTCCTCTGTCTTCCTTGCCCGTTGGGTGTTAGAGAAGGAAGCTGTCGGCATCGTGATTATTCTTCTGGAATTCAGATGTATGTATATATTTTCTATCGCTGCTTGTCGATAACATGTTTTCGATATTGGTTTATACAATCCGCTCGATAGCTGTACATACTATACTGTATGGGATTTATATTCAGACCTGCTTCGACAATATGATAACTTTTCCCTCCCGGGCCCTTCCAAAGGTATCATTCATATGATCTATTTCCGCATCTTACTTGGGAGTCCCGTACGGTTCAGCAATTCAGTAACTATGTACTTGTCCAATCGGTACATTAGCAAGGAGTATCAGGTGGACGAAAGGGAAGATATCGGGAGTGTAGCAAGTCCGGAGCTCCCCAGTGACGCCAACATCCACCCCAGCACCCGCTTAACCAAAACATGGCACCGACTCTTATATCTCGAGGGAACGATCCATTCAAGTTCAGCCTCGGCAACTGCGTCCTTGAGGAGAACCCTGCCGCAAGCCGGGGAGATCCATTCGTAGACGGTGTGTGAGCATCTCCTCCTGGATGTGCAAATCGTGCTTCGTTGGCTCAAGCGACAAGCGGAGTAGTTAACGCAGGAGGGAATGGCGCCAGTGGCCGGAGAGAGAGCTGGGGACTATCGTTTTCTGGCAATGCGAGTTGGGCTGGGAATTCCTGGCGTGTTCCTCGTCAAGTGAAAAGGCGATGCGGTTGCGGACCTACAGCCCGGGCCGATAATAAGTGTCGCTTCAACGCTGCTCGGAAAGCGTTATGGTCTCAGAAAAAGAACTGAAACAGAATCATCAGCACCATACGCGGGAGAAAAACGAGGCCCACGCACCGTTCACCATGATCGCGGCAATATCACTTCTTTGAACATATGAGATAGTAAGAAAAACGGCCCCGCTGGCTCCTTGAGAAGAACGCTGCCGGAAGCGGGGTAACCCGTGTCGAGGACACGCAGGGGCAGAGGGAGATCTACTCGATGAGGCCATCGACTTTTTACCATCTCCTCCTGGTTAGGTTAGGGTTAGGGTTAGGGGGTTAGGTTAGGGTTAGGTTAGGGTTAGGGTTAGGTTAGGTTAGGGTTAGGTTAG